CGTGGACGAAGGGTATCCTGGGAATAGATGAGGGTGTCCTGCTGGATAGATGAGCTGCCGCCACCAAATGGATCAGACCCTGTCCATGGGAGAGGCACCGTCAGCAAGGACGAGGTTATTCTGTTCCCACTGGGACTCCGGGAGCGTCTCCTGGCCCAGATGGTACAGGCCAGAGGGATCTTGGTGTGCGCAAGCCCTGGGTTCTCCAAGTCTCTCTGGACAGCGGGGTGGGGTTCGGGGAGGGCAGCTGCACCGTTTACCCTGGGAGTCCTCCTTCACCTCTCACAGCAGCCCTAACCCCTCTCTGCGGTTCCTTCTGCGGCTCATGCTGTTCCTGACTTTGTCCACCCCACCGCTCATTTCTCGCTCTCACCTACATTTTCTCTCCATTCAATTTGGAAAAGGCCCTGTGTGTGCCAGCCACTGCCCAGTCTCATTTAATTCTCCCTACGACACAGTATCACTCCCCTTTACACACACGCACATTTTCTCTATCATTTATTCATTCAACAAACAGGTGCCCAGTATGTACCAAACACCTGGGGTATACAATTTAAAAAAATGGACAAGAATCACTCATGAAGCTTATATTTTAATATAAGGGCAACCAGACCAATAAAAAATTAAACCAGAGGATAAATACATTATATATTCATTTAGAAAGTGATAATTGCTTTAAAAAAATTGTAGAGAAGGTTCAGGGGGCAAAGAAATACCAGGGAAGAGGAGCAGTTTTTAGGAGAGGTCAGGATGGGCCTTGTTGCAAAAGGTGAGCTCTAACAAAGATTTGAAGGAGCTCAGAGATCTCTGTGGGCACCGGGGGAAGATGGGACCACGCCTGGCAGGCTGGAGGAACAGAGGGAGTGATGGAGCAGGGCGTCTGAGAGGTCACAGAGGGTCATGAGTGCCATGGCAAGGCCTTTGCTCCTTACTCTGAATGAGATGGAGGGTATTGGGGAGATCCGGGCGGGACTGGACATGATCCCAGTTATTTAAAGGGTCACTCCAGCCACTCCTGGAGTGCTGCAGGGAAGTGAGGGTAGAAGCAGGAATTGGAACTTCAAAGCATCTTGCTCCAGGGTGGCACCGCCCATGGGCGATGGAGCTGAAAATGGAATCTGGATCCGGCACCAGAGCCCATACACTTTGCCCTGTGCCAGCCTCTTCTCCCTGGGGGATGAGGCCTGGGGGACTGGTCTCCCTGGCCCAGGTTCTGCAGGAGAATGGGGTGGGTGGGCGTGGGATAACACCCATTATCCTTTCCTTCTGCCTCCAGATGGTCTCCCTGGGGCCCCAAATCAGGGAGGTCCTATCTCTCTTAGGAACATGCTCTGGGCCTGGATGTGGGGCCCCAGAAGCCAGGCCCAGCTCTGGGCACCAGGGGAGCCCGGGCATGCCGAGGCTGTGGCTGTGGTGGTGGGTTGCTAGGTGACTCCAAGAAGGAGCCCTGGTTACTGCTGCCTGGCAGAGGCCTCTCCCTCCTCTGCCTCCCTCACCTCCTCCATGGCCTCTGGCCTCCCAGGAGGCCTTGCAGGTGAGCCAGAGCTGTGATCAGCACTTGCCACTGGATCTTGGCAGGGAGCTGTGATTGGTACCAGGTGGCTGGCCCCTGAGGCGCCAGACTGGGCTGCAGGGCCTGGGCTTCTCTCATGGGGCACAGCCTTGGTGCACACCTGGTACAGAGCCCAGCTCAGCAGTCAGGGGCCTAGATCCTTGCCCAGCTCTGAGCCACCTCCCCAGGTGGCCCCGGTCAAGGCATGGCAGCCCTCTATGCCTCCATTACCCTGACCAAGGGGCTGGTTTTCTGTGAGGGAGGGTGCTGAGTGGGCAGGGCTCCAGGTCCTCCCACTCCCACCCCCGCTGGCTTGAGTGTGTAATGCCTAACTTTTGCATTAGATTCCATTTATGGAAACAGTTCCACTACTTTAAGAAAAAAGTCTGAAAACCTCTGGAGTGGATGATTCCAAGAATTTTCAGTGTCAAACTGAAAAGGTCCCCAGAGTACAACTTGCCCATCTCCTTAGTTTACACGTGGGGAAACTGAGGCCAGGAACTCTCCCTTTACCTAGGTCAGACTTGGTGAGTGAGAAGTCCTAGGCCCACATCCCTCCTCTGCCACCAGGTCCTGGGTGACCTTGGGCAAGTCCTTTGTTTTCCCTGGGTTGGACCAGACACAGTTTCAGGCTGGGGCTTGAGCTCCCAGGGGTACCTGGCTGGATAGGGGACAGAAGGGGAAGGGCACAAACCTTCGTAGGCCTGCAGCATGTCTTCGTGGTAATCTAAAACATTTTTATGTTTATGAAAGAAATGTGGATTATGAAGTACATGCAGAATTTTCTTGAATTCTGAAAAAGAAGCATAAGGCTTGTAGGAAATTTTGACCTTTCATCATGCCCCCAGCCTCCCCATGCTACCAGCTTCTAGGGACAGTTTACATGGAAAACTTGAGGAACACTGGAGCACTGGCTTCCTAAGATTCTTTGGGAATCCTCTGACCTGTTTCCCTCTCCCATGGTGGAATGTGATGTCCTTTAGACTCAGAGTAAGACCACCCTGAAATCAGTACCTGGCTCTACGCCTAACAAGCTGCGTGACCTTGGTAAGTCAAACGACTCTGAGCCTCACTCTCCTCATCTTGAGACAGGGATCACCATTTGCCATAAAGAGTGTGTGAGATAAAGAACTTAGAGTGCCCAGGGCTGAATGGGCAGGTATTGGCCAGTTGCTGGCACCTGGTGATGTCCTTCCTACTTCCCCCCAGCTCTGAACCAGGCTGGCACATTGATAGAGGAGTGGCCTGCTGGTCTCCAGCTGGAGAACTGGGGAGGTGGGAGGTGCAGCCTCTGGTAAGCCAGACAGTCCTATGGGGGAGAACTGAGGCCTCCGAGGACCTCAACACAGGTGTGGGGGAGGGGCTGGGGAGCCAGGTGCAGGGGCGGGAACAGGGAAGGGGGTGTCTACTTGAGAGAGCACCACTCCCTGGGGGTCCAGCTCCCCTCCTCTCAAGGCCCCAGGAGAAACCAGGCAGTGCAAGGCTGCCAAGCTCCAGCTGTTGCCACCCAGGGCAAGAAAGTGCCAGAGACAGTGAGTATGGAGCCCTGAAGCATCAGTACTGGGAGCTGGGGGTAACGGGTGGGAGGATACGCTGGGCAACAAGAAGGCCTCCTCCTCCTGGAGACTTGTGGGGAGGAGGCGGAAGGGACAGTTCTCACAGAGCAGTGGCTACGAATGTGCCTGGGCAGATTAGCAGGTTAAGAGCAGGTCCACGAGCTGGGCAGGGCTGGAGTGGTACCTGGCACCGTTGCCTAGCTGTGGGGCCACGGGCAAGTTACAGCATGCCTCTGGGCCTCTGCTTCCTGCTCTATGGAACGGGATAATGCCAGCTTCCCAGAGTTGTTGGTGCCCAGCACAGCTGTACTCAGGGCATGATATTAAGGAGTTGGACTCAGAGCAGATCTGTTAGGTGATCCAAGAGGTGAGGTCTTCTGGCCAAAGTAAGGGATGTAACCAACGTTTATGATTACCTGGTGTGTTCACCAAACACTTATTCTCACACATTATCTCACATAAGGATCTTACAGCCTTAAGATGTGGTTACTGAATGTAGCCCATTTTGTCAGAGTAGTTCATGAGGCCCACAGATATTTGAGTAAGCAGCCCATGGTCACACACAGCATCCTGCCCAGCCCACTGATACCCAACCCCGTGCTGTTTCCACAGCAGTGCCTGAGCAAGGAGGTCAAGACCACCAGGTGGGAGGCCCCAGGGGTGGGGCATGGCGGGCCCAGCAGAAGTTCTGCGCCAGGTTCCTGCGGGCAGCCAGGCCAGTGGAGCTGTGGACTCCTTGCCTTCCTTTATGCTCAGGACAGGCCTGGCAAAAGCAGGCAGTGACATGAGGAGCACTGGAGACTGGCATAGCAGAAATGAAGAGGAGGAAATGGACAGAGGTAGCAAAGGTGACACCCAGGGAAGTACTGAAGGCAGCAGAAAGGGCTACGTAGCCATGGGCAAGCCACTTTGCCTCTCTGAGCCTAGGTCTTCTTGTGTGTAGGTAGGGATTATGCCACCTACTTTTTAGGGGTTTGTGAAGGCTCCACCAGGAAGGGGCTTTGAGGGCAGGCAGGCAGCTCAGGAGGGATGGGTGGGCTGTAGCCCAAAGGGCAGGCTGCAGAGCTGGGCTGGGGTTCGAGGTCTCCATGGCCAAAGGTTATCCTTCCTTTGAGGGGCTTGATGGGATCCAAGGCCTCTGTGGAATTTACAGGAGCTCAGAGGAGTTGGGGGGAAATCTCTGAAACGTCTCGGGCATATACCCACCTTGGAGACCCCCAGCCTACTCTGCTTTCCCTGGCCAGGCCCTCCCAGCAAAGGGTTAACACTCTTCTCTACCTGCAGTTGCATTTTAAAGACACGAAATTAAAGCAGGTAATTTATTCTCCCCACACACGAAAGAGCAATTAGTTCTAAACAGGGCTTAATCAGTCACCGCGAGATTGATTTCTGGAGCCCTGGGTTTTCGGGCTCCTGGCGCCATGCCAGGCTGGGGAGGGAGGGGGGCGGACAAATGAGCCGCAGCAGCATGAGCCCTTACATAATCTGCTGGGGGACCCTGGCAGCCTGGATGGCCCCGCCTCGGGCTTGGCTGAGTTGGGGAAAAGGGGTCCCCGCAGGCTCGGAGCAGTCCTCAGGGTTGGCCATGCCCCCAGGAAAAGGCTAGCCCCAAAGCTCAAGCCTCGCCCTCCAGGCAGTGTCTGTGTGGGGGTGGAGGGTGGGTACTCTGGGTTTGTCCAACCTGGTACTTACACCTGCCCCCCTTCTCCCAACCCTCTCACCCCATCCACCCTTCCATGCTCCCTATTTCCTTCCCTCCCCCTTTGGCTCTCCTCCATTGTCTTCTCTCATTTCTTCTATTTTCTTCCCCTCCTCGTTCCACCACGACCCCCTCTTTCCCCACGGCCTCCTCACTTCCCACTCCCCACCCGTGCCCTTGTCTCTGCCCACAGAACTCCATCCGGCACAACCTGTCGCTGCACACGCGTTTCATCCGCGTGCAGAACGAGGGCACAGGCAAGAGTTCGTGGTGGATGCTGAACCCGGAGGGCGGAAAAACTGGCAAGACCCCGCGGCGCAGGGCCGTGTCCATGGACAATGGGGCCAAGTTCCTGCGCATCAAGGGCAAGGCAAGCAAGAAGAAGCAGCTGCAGGCACCCGACCGCAGCCCAGACGACAGCCCTCCCGGCGCGCCTGTCCCAGGGCCGGTGCCCGCTGCGGCCAAGTGGGCCGCCAGCCCCGCCTCGCACGCCAGCGACGACTACGAGGCGTGGGCCGACTTCCGCGGCGGCGGGAGACCTCTGCTCGGGGAGGCGGCCGAACTGGAGGACGACGAGGCCCTGGAGGCCCTGGCGCCGTCGTCGCCGCTCATGTACCCGAGCCCCGCGAGCGCGCTGTCGCCGGCCCTGGGCGCGCGCTGTCCCGGGGAGCTGCCCCGCCTGGCCGAGCTTGGAGGCCCGCTGGGGCTGCACGGCGGCGGCGCGGGGCTGCCCGAGGCTCTGCTGGAAGGCGCGCAGGACGCGTACGGGCCTCGGGCCCGCGCCGGGACCCCGGCCTACTTTGGCGGCTGCAAGGGCGGCGCTTACGGCGGGGGCGGGGGCTTCGGGCCGCCAGCGCTGGGCGCGCTGCGCCGCCTGCCCATGCAGACCATCCAGGAGAACAAGCAGGCCAGCTTCGCGCCGGCCGCCGCGCCCTTCCGCCCCGGGGGGCTGCCCGCGCTGCTGCCGCCGCCGCCCGCGCCCAGGCCCGGCCAGGTGCTGGGCGCGCCAGGGGAGCTGGTGCTGGCGGGCGCGTCAGCCGCCTACCCCGGCAAGGGGGCCGCCCCGTACGCCCCGCCCGCGCCCTCGCGCAGTGCCTTAGCCCACCCCATCAGCCTTATGACGCTGCCCGGCGAGGCGGGCTCCGCGGGCCTGGCACCGCCCGGGCACACTGCCGCCTTCGGGGGCCCTCCTGGCGGCCTCCTGCTGGACGCGCTGCCGGGGCCCTACGCGGCCGCCGCCGCCGGGCCGCTGGGTGCTGCACCCGACCGCTTCCCGGCCGACCTGGACCTCGACATGTTCAGCGGGAGCCTCGAGTGCGACGTCGAGTCCATCATCCTCAACGACTTCATGGACAGCGACGAAATGGACTTCAACTTCGACTCGGCCCTGCCTCCGCCGCCTCCTGGCCTGGCCGGGGCCCCGCCCCCCAACCAGAGCTGGGTGCCGGGCTGAGGGCCGCCTCCCGCGCCCCGGGTGTCCCCGTCCCGTCCCCAAGGGGCCTCTGTCTTCCCATCCTGAACCCCGGGTCCCCGTCCCCATTCTAGCGCCCCAGAAGGCAGCCCCAGCCCTGCTAGAGACCTCAGAAGTTGACCGCTGAGGAAAGTGGGAGGGAGGGGCTGGGGCACCCCCACCATTCCTGCCCAAACTCCTGCGACTTGCTCCCCTCCTCCTGCGGCAGGAAGCCTGGGAGGAGGCTGAATTCTGGGCTGGGTGGGAGTGGGGAGGAGCGAGGTGGGACGCCTGGTGAGGACGCTGGTTGGGGAAGCCAACTAGGAGATGGGCCATGGAGGGGGGCAGGGGGCGTTTCCGGATCTTCAGTTTCCTTTGCAGAGCCCTAGCTGTGACTCCTCCCCCACCCCCAACTGCGATCTGATTCCCAATTGACACACTTTCCCACCGGTCTTAGCCTCACTCGCCCAATGCCAGCAGCCCTCTTATTGGCCATGGCCTCCCCCACGGTTCAGCCCCTCCCTCCCATCCTTGCCGGCCCTCGTTTCTCCCCTACCCGGTCGGAGTCAGTCCTTTCCAGCCCTCCCACTCCCAAGTGCTGGTCTCAGCCTCTCCTGCAGGCCTCAGTCCCAGATCCACCCCCAAGCCGTCACCCCTTGCTGCGCGCCAGTCCTGGCCCCTCTCCCATATTTATAAGTGTCCGGTCGGGGCGGGCGGTGGGCGCGGCGTCCCCGGCGCGTATCGTAGGCAGTGTACCGTGGCCGTGCCGTCAGCGTGTGCGTGTGCGTGTGTGCCGTGTCGAGGCCGTGTAGAGTGCATTGTACAGCATATTTTCATGAATAAAATTGTTTTAAATATTTCCCGCGCCTTGGGCTAGCAGGAGGGGGGCAGTGGCGGAGGATAATTGGCAGGGATCTTGGGGAGGTGGGGAGTCCCTGCGCTTGAGCCGCTATTGAAGCTTTGTGTCTGGGCACGTGTCAGCATTCGCTCTTGCTTGTCTGCTCAGCACACATTGGTTAAGCGCCTACTGAGTTCCGGACGCTGGAGATGTGCCTTGTGGAGCTCTGCACCTGTTTCTGTGAACACGTGCATGCAGGAAGTTTTGGGCCTGGGGAAATTCTGTCCTGAATAAGCCTCAGAGATTGGGAGAGAGGATGCAAATATTTATTGTGATTCTAGTGCCAGACCCTGTATTGGGCACAATATTTTGTTCCCATTGTGCAGATAAGAAAACAAGGTCAGAGAGGGAAAGTGACTTAGGAAGGCTTGGTGGAGATGGTGGAAGGAGGAGGCTTTGAGGTGCACAGGCTGCTATTGGAATCTATCCCCTGCGGTCTACCAGCTGTGCAACCAGGGGCAAGTTTTCAGACTCTGCAGCTTTGTTTTCCTGGTCTACACCATAGCATGGTAGCATCTATCTCATGGATTTCTTTTGAGGGGTAAATGAGAAAAGGTATGTAAAGTGCTCAGCACAGGCCCTGCTCATTCATTCATTCAAGGAAGATTTAGTGAGCACCTGTTATGTGCCAGTCCTTATATCAAGCATTGGGGCTGCCCTAGGCACAGTCTCTGCCCTTAAGGCACTTAGAGGTTTATTGGCGGCAAGGATGAGTCCACAGGAGATTATAGATCAGAGCTGTGATGAGTGGAGAAGCCAGGCTGCCATTGTGGGAATCGAATGATGGGCCAGCACTCATCCTGGACTTGAGAAGTCAGGGAAGGTGCCTGGAGGGGATGCTGTCTCGCTGAGCCTTGAAGGATGAGTTGGCATTGGGAAGAGGAGGGACTCAGACAGAGGGAATGGTGTGTTCAAAGGCCCAGTCAAGATAGCATGTGGATTCCAGAACCAACAGCAGTTGAGTGTGGCTAAGCTCAGCAGAGAGATTCCTGATGGCAGGGAGGCCAATGGGCCAGAGGCAGTGTGGCCCAAACAGAGGGGCTGATGTGGCTCAAACCAGGGGATGGGGAGGGCAGTGGGGCTGGAAGGGAAAGGATGAGTTCACATCTACTTTGCTGTACACTCATTGGGACTTGGTTGTAGATTGGACATGGGGATGAGGGCGAGGAAAGAGTCAAGTGATGCCTGGCTTCTGGTTGGGTGTCTGCGCAGACAGGGCCATTCCCTGAGATGGGGGCATCGATGAAGGAGGAGAATGGTGTGCTGGGCCCCAGGCAGGCTCAATTTGAGTTACAGTCTATGGGAATCTTTGGGATTTGGGGCAGGGGGAGGGATGTTTAGGAGCGCGTATACTGTATGAATGGCATTCTCTGGCATTGGGCAACATGGTGCCCTGGGTATATCCACCTGGATAGTGAGATCAGAGCCCAGGATGGTGTCTGGGCTGGAGATGGAGGTCAGAGAATCAGGAGCACAGAGGTTGTCATTGAGGTGTTGGGAGTGGCTTGGTGGGGGGGGGGTTGCAGAGAGAGAAGAGTAGGGAATCCAAGTCTGCTCCGATGAACAGCTGAGAACGCCTTGGCACAGGAAGAGGGACACACTGGCTGAGAAGCAGCAACCAGAGGGAGAGGAGAAGGAAAGCCAGGACACTGTGGGGTTGGGGTCCTAGAGTCCTAGAATGTGGTTCTAGAAAGGAATGCCCAGTGCTCTTACCTCCTGGAGCTTCACTTTCTTGGTCTGGAAGATGGGACAGTAGCACCTGTCTCATAAATTTGTTTTGAGGAACAAAAAGATTGGACTTCTTGTCTGAGGTCGCACTACTAGCAAGGGGCAGAGCCAGGGTCTCTGCCACTGAATAGGTGCCTCCAGTGCCCAGGCTCTCCTGCGGCCCCCACTGCCTCTGAGGAGGTGGCTGGGAGCAGAGGAACAGAGGCGCTTGGAGCCAGTGGGATCCACACAGGTTCTGGGCTCAGAGCTGGGGGGCTGAGACTTTGTTGGTGTGGTGTGGTGGGTGTCCCTGCTGGGTGGGGAGCACATAGAGGCCGATGACTCCCCTCCTGGGACAAATGCCCTAGCCCTACCCCACAACCAGACTCAGCCCAGCTGGGTCTGGGCTCCATATGGGCTGCAAAGCTGCCCCCACCCTGGGCTGATGGAGGGTGGGCTGCTGGTGTGTACGTGCAGGTCTGTGTGTGTTCACGTAGCCCCATGTGCAACTGTCTGTGCGGGTGAGTGTGTGTTAGGTACTAGTAAGTGTGCTGAGGGGGCGGTTTGGGTGGTGGTTGAGGTCTCCGTGTCTGAGTGTGCACATGGCTGAGCATGTGCGTGCACGCGAGTGCGTGGGTGTGGGTGTGGTGCGAACCACAGTGGATCCGTCTCTGAGTGTGCCCACACAAGTGCCTGGGGCTGCGGGGTCTATGCCTGTGTGAGCTGCTCCCTGTCCCCCCCAACACTGTCCCCACATGTGCACTGCACGCCCTCCTCTCTGGGTGTGCCTGCCCGTCTTGGCACATACTTCTCTCTTGGGAAGCTCCAGCGCTGGTGTTCCCCTGCCAGGAGCGTCTTCTGGGCTGCTCTGCCGGCTGTCAGAGGGGAGGGGAGCAGAGGGACACTCCAGACCTGGGATCCAGCCCAGCTCAAGGGCAGGGAGCAACGGGACCACCTCAGAGTAATGACTGCGCTCCGCCCGCCTCAGGCTGGTCCTAATTCCACACACAGCTTCTGTCCTGCTGGACCCCATCAGGAGAAAGGGGGCAACACCCCTGCAGCCGGGGGGGGGGGGCTTCAACTGGCCCTTCCCCACCAGCCTTGGAGCCCAGCAGACCGCCCCCTCCATGCCCACTCCCTGGGAGGCGTCTGACACATGATTTATTCATAAAAAGCCATTATTTGTGCCAAAGAAGAACTGAGCTGCCGGCTTTTTAAGTGCTGATAATGCTCTCAGCCTCCTTGTCTCTCCTCCCTCCCCCCATCTTCTGTCTTCTCTCACCTCCTTCAGACTTCTACCCGGTCTCCTCCTCCCCGTCCTTCCCCCTTCCCCTCCATTCTTCCAGCTAGTCCTCTGTTGTGCTCCTCACACCTCCTCTTCTCCCTGCTCACCCCACTCCACTCCTCCCCACCGCAGTTAGGGGAGCGAGGCAGGGCGGTGAGGCTCAGAGCCAGTTGTCCCAGATTGGGGAAGGGGCCTGGAGCCCTGTGGACCCCACGCCTCTACCTCCACCTTCACCTGTACAGGACCAGGGGAAGGCCGAGCAAGGTGGGGCGGGGGGCCTCAGAGGCTGTCCTACCCAGCTCCCCTTCTGCTAAAGGGTGTGACTTTAGCCCCTCATTATTAGCACCCATCCCCCACACTCCCAAATGAACCTTCAATTAAGTAAAAACCGTGCACTTGCTATGCAACTACAGGTTCAAGGCAAGCCCCCTAAATCCCTCCCTGCCCAAGAATAACCCCAAGCTCTCCCATGTAGAAATTCTGGAGCCATCACTACTCAGGTGGTGCCAGGAGAGGCTGGCGTCAAGGGAGACGCTTGGGGCCTGACACAGAGCACCTGTTTCCAGACAGGAAGGAGCAGAGTGAGTATGTTCACAGATCGAAGCGTGGACATGGACACACACCAGGCTCTTAGAAGCAGACATGACAGCCCCACATGTGTGCATGCCCTCATGCTCACACGTGCACACACACACAGGCATGTGCGCAGCCACACAGCTACTCACGCAGATGGAGAGCCGTTCCTTGCCCCTTTCCAAAGCGTTCCTCCCCTGCACCTGCAGTGGGGGCTGGAACTCTTTCCCCATGCAGACACCTGCTCATTCATTCATCCATTCACTCATTCACTCCATCAATTTTGTTTTTGCACAGCCGCTGGGTCAGCCCTCGTGTTGGGCACTGGGGAGGCAGAAATGAACTCCAGTGGGCTCTGGGGAGGAGGACTGGAGCAGAGAGGTGCTGCAGGCCCTCCCCTACAGCCTTGGGCTGGGGGCCGGGGGCCCAGCAGGCGAGGGGTTAAGTCATTTGGCATCCAGAGCTGGAGCCATTAGGCCTCCTAATTATGAAATTATCGAGGTCCTCAGGTGACTGCTAATTTCACACACACTGTTCCTC